CAGGAGCGCCCCCTACTGGCCCGCCACAGCTCCTAGTTGCCTGTCAAAGACAGAAGCCGGGGCAGTAGGACACAGGGGGAGCAGGCAGCAAGACGGAGCAGCCCAGCCCTGCTCCACCCCTAGCCATTTCCCTGTCTTCCTGCCCCTGCACTGCTCCTGGCTGCATGGCTGGAGAGCATGGGGCCACACCAGTACCCCGGGGGGGTGTGTGTGTGTGTTTACAGGGTGAGTCCCACACACACACCCCCATACACATGCACCCACCCCCCCCTTACACTGCCATACATGCAGACCCCCACACACATTCCCTCACAAACCCCATACCTACCCACACCCTACATATCCACACACACACCCACATGCTCCCTCACCCCACACCAACACCCCCCACACCTATCCACCCCCATAGACACACCCACACACCCCACATACCCACAGCCCCCCACAAACCTATATGTACCCCCCACAATATACAAAAGTAAGACTTCATTTTAAGCTATTGTGCAATCACCTCTGTGTACACTACACAAACACATGTAAATCGGAGCAAAAATATTTTTTTAAATCAAATTAATGAATGTTGTAGCCGCTCGCTTTTTAGAATATAATTCGGTATTTTTCTGCTTCCAAGATGGCAAAACCCCTTGCTGAAAGGAGTACTTCCAGGCCAAAGGATGGGACTTCTGATGGCAAAAGTCAGGGGTTAGGGAGTGGGACATCTGGTCACAAGATGGTGAGCAGCAGGCGGAGCTCCTGTCAAGGGGTGGAGCTACCCATGCAGCCCTCGACAACTTTCCAAAACTTGGTAAGTGGCCCTCTACCTGAAATAATTGCCTGCCCCTGGGCTAAGGTATGTGATCTAGCCACAGCCCCCTCTGACCACCAGTGATGTGACCGCCCAGACAGACCAAACGGCTGACGAGGGCAGAGGACACTGGCTACTGCTACTGCTACTGGCTACCACTACTGCCTACAGAAACCAAGAGAGACCATGAGGGGTTCATAGAGTCATAAATAATGAAAGTGGGAAGGGACCTCAGGAGGTCACATCTTACCCAACCCCCTGCTTAAAGCAGGACCAGCCCCACCAACATCATCCCAGCCAAGGCTTTGTCTAGCTGCATCTTAAAAACCTCCAGGAATGGAGACTCCACCACCTCTCTGGGTAACCTGTTCCAGTGCTTTATTACTATTATTATCAGTGATATTATTATCAGTGAGGACCTAGTCAGGAAACTTCTGGAGGGACTAGATGTGTTCAAATCAGCAGGTCCTGATGATCTCCACCCCAAGGTGCTGAGGGAATTGGCAGAGGTCATTGCGGGACCCCTGGCACGGCTTTATGAGCACTCATGCCGCTCTGGTGAGGTGCCTGATGACTGGAAGAAGGCCAAAGTGGTCCCCATTTTCAAAAAAGGGAAGAAGGAGGACCCAGGAAACTATAGGCCCGTTAGTCTTACCTCGGTCCTGGGGAAGCTGTTTGAGAAAATTATCCAGGAGTACATCTGCAAGGGGACAGCAGGGGAGATTATGCTTAGGGGCAACCAACATGGGTTCATTAGAGGCAGGTCCTGTCACACCAACCTGGTGGCCTTCTGTGACCAGGTCATAAGATCCTTGGACATAGGTGTCGCAGTGGATGTAGTCTTTCTGGAGTTTACGAAGGCCTTTGACACTGTCTCTCACCCCATTCTCATTAAAAAATTAGGCATCTGTGGCGTCGACACCTACACAGTCAAATGGGTTGCAAATTGGCTGGAGGGCTGCACCCAGAGAGTGGTGGTGGACGGTCATTTTTGACCTGGAGGGATGCGGGCAGTGGGGTCCCCCAGGGCTCGGTCCTCGGGCCCGCACTGTTCAATGTATTCATCAGTGACTTGGACGAGGGGGTGAAAAGCACCTTGTTCAAATTCGCAGATGACACTAAGATGTGGGGAGAAGTGAGCATGCTGGAGGAGAGGGACAGGCTACAATGAGATCTGGACAGGTTACAGGGGTGGGCGGATGAGAATAGGATGGGTTTCAATACTGACAAGTGCAAGGTACTGCACCTGCGGAGGAAAAACCAGCAGCATACCTACAGGCTGGGGAACTCCCTTATCGTCAGTGCAGAGGCAGAAAGGGATCTTGGAGTCATTATTGATGCCACAATGAACATGGACCGACAGTGTGGGGACGTGGTCAGGAAGGCCAACCGCACCTTGTCGTGCATCCACAGATGCATCACGAGCAGGTCCAAGGAGGTGATCCTCCCCATCTACGTGACACTGGTCAGGCTGCAGTTGGGGTACTGCGTCCAGTTCTGGGCACCGCACTTCAGGAGGGATGTGGACAGCATCGAGAGGGTCCAGAGGAGGGCCACCCACATGATCAGGGGGCAGCAGGGCAGGCCCTATGAGGAGAGGTTACGGGACCTGAACCTGTTCAGCCTCCGCAAGAGAAAGCTGAAAGGGGATCTGGTGGCCACCTATAAACTTGCCAAGGAGGACCAGCAGGCAATGGGAGAGTCCCTGTTCCCCCGGGCACTACCAGGGGTAACAAGGAACAACGGCCATAAGTTGATAGAGAGTACATTCAGGCTAAACATCAGGAGGCGCTACTTCACAGTCAGGGCAGCTTGGAGCTAAAACCAACTTACAAGGGAAGTGTTGCTCACCCCCACCCTGGGGGTCTTCAAAAGGAGGCTAGACAGCCACCTAGCTGGGGTCTTTTGACCCCAGAATCCTTTCCTGCCCATGGCAGGGAGTTGGACTTGATGATTTGCTCAGGTCCCTTCCGACCCTACCAACTATGAAACTATTCCCCTCCTAGTGAGAAAGTTTCTCCTAATATCCAACCTAAACTTCCCTTGCTGCAGCTTGAGCCCATTGCTCCTTGTTCTGTCATCTGCCACCACTGGGAACAGTCCAGCTCCATCCTCTTTGCAGCCCCACTTCAAGGAGTTAAAGGCTACTATTAAATCCCTCCTCAGTCTTCTCTTCTCCAGACTAAATAAGTCCAATTCCCTCAGGCTGTCCTCACAAGTCATATCTCCCAGCCCCTGAACCATTGCTATTGCCCTCTGCTGGACTCTCTCCAACTTGTTCACATCCTTTCTGTAGTGGGAGGCCCACAACTGGACACAGGACTCCAGATGTGGCCTCACCAGTGCTGAAGAGAGGGAAATAATCAATTCCATTGATCTGCTGGCAATGCTCCTACCAATGCAGCCCAGGAACCCATTAGCCTTCATGGCAACAAGGGCACACTGCTGGCTCATATTTAACTTACTGTTCACTGTCACCCCAAGGTCCTTTTCTACAGAGCTGCTGCTTAGCCAGTTGGTTCTCCAGGCTGTAGTGGATGGGATTTTTCCATCCTAAGTGCAGGACTTTGCATTTGCGTTTGTTGAACCTCATGAGATTTCTTTTGGCCAAATCCTCCAATTAGTCTAGGTCACTCTGAATCCTAGCTCTCCCCTCCAGCATATCTACTCCTCCGCCCAGCTTGGTGTCATCTACAAACTTGCCGAGTGTGCACTGTGGCAGAAAGCCACCTTTGTTTCTCTCCCCAAAGTCTCCGCTCTGTGACAATTTGATAAGGATGGGCCCAGCAGAGAGCCACATCCTTACCCTATCTCTTTGGGTAACCTGAGCTGGACACATCCCTGAGGGAGGGGGGAAAACTGCTCCTTCTGCCTACATGACTGGCATCACACACCTGGGTGAGGGGCTTCCTTCCTGGTGGGCTAGAGTCTGCCCGGCAAACTAGTGATGTATTTCAAATTGGTTGGCTCATAGTCAACAGGTACTGGCCTCCATTGGACCAGGTAAATCAGGTCACAAGGGCTATATAAGTTAAGGACTGCCTGGGAGGAGGGGCAGCAGCCATGAGGGAGACTCAGAGACAGAGAAGAGCTGCACCATCTGAAACTTGCTCTTTCTCAAAACTCATGATCAGGGAACCACTTGCCTCCAGAGGAATCCCCCCCTGCCTCTGGATGATACTAGTGAGTAAGCTACCTGAGATCCAACTAGATATACAGCTTGCAGTAACTCAGATGCGAGATCAAAGGCTACCCAGCCAGGGGAGTTTGCTCTATGGGATTTCTCTGATATTGCTCTACCCTGTACCCTAGTCTAACCCTACCCTCTGTAACCAATAAAGTTCTCCTTCATACCTAGTGTGGGAGACTTATTGAGGGGTGAGTTTGATTATGCTAGGAGGCCCTTTGGGTCAGCGGACTAGGGGAGACTATCCTTTTTGGCTCCTGTCTTGGGGAGGAGCCCCACATTCTTGTATTGGGTCGAGTACCTGTAGGACTATTAGGCCTGTGTTTCCCCAAGGACACAGGCCCAAGACAGTCCCTTCTCAGGGTGGTGGCAGCATACATTACCCCTGGACTCTGCGGTGGGGCTTGAAAGGGGGTCTGCCAGGGCTTAAGCGCCCCTGGAGGGACATGTGGAGTCCGGCAGGTGGACGGGCATAGTGAGGTGGGAGGCTCAATGCAGGAGCTCCCCCTACTGGCCTGCCACATGTACTCTATGCCATCTTCCAGGTTGTTAATGAAGATATTGAACAAAACCAACCCCAGGACTCAACCCTGGGGCACCCCCCTTGATACCGGCTGCCAACTAGACATTGAGCCATTGATTACTACCTGTTGAGCCTGACAATCCAGCCAGCTTTCTATCCAGATGCATGAGTTGATGCATGGGTTAGAGGGTGCAGGAGGGTGCACACAAACACATGTGTTCGCAAGGACTTGTAAATGCATGAGCCATCCCACTCCATCTTCCATGCTCACTCTCTACTGTATAAACCCTGTTCAGGTTTACTGGGAGGTCTTGGTCGTTACTTCTCCCTGGATCATGTGCCTTGGCCCAACAAGGGGCAGGGCTGTGCAGTGAGAATGCCTGGGCCCTGCAGAGCTGTACCTAGGAGCTTCTCGAAGCTCTGCTTGGAGGATGAAGGCAGCGTACCTGGGCCTGCCATGCCATGAGGACATTTCTGCTGGAAAGCTCCTGCAGCACAGCGCGAACATCGTTCTCAATGATGTAGACTAAATCCGGGAGGAAGTATTCACTCAGCCGCCTCAGCTCGCTGGTAGTGTAGTTGTGCAGGTGTACACTGAAGGCTGTGACATCACCTGTGGAGAAGACCAGCACTTAGACAGGATGGGACTACAGGGTGGTATGACTCCTGCCAACTCAAAACCACCCACCATCCTTGTCCCAGAGCTCCCAGCTACTCCAATTCCAGCTCCTCCCTGCCGGTGGGCTTCTGAGACCAGCACGGGAGCTGTAGCTACGGGAGCTTGTGCCTGCCCTGGCTCCCCCGTAGGAGACGCTGTAGGTTATAGCGCTGGCGCGGGAGTGAGGACTCTGAAACGCTCCAGCCCCAGCCCTTGCCTGCAGGTGCTCTCAAGAACAGGCCGGCCGCATGGTCTCTCGCTGCATGGGGTTAAATCCGTTTCAAGAGCTCCAGTAACACTCACCTTCGCTCACCATGCGTCTTTGGTCAGAAGCCATTTCAGTCCCTCAGCGCTGTGTGCCTCTGGAAGTCCTAGGGGAAGGGGGGGAAGGGGCAGGGGGTGAGACAGAGCCCCTGAATCTGCTTCCATCTCCAGCTTAGGCATGATCCTAACTTTGCTCCTGGTGCCATGCTGGCCTCTTTGAAGTCAGCCAGAGTTTTGCCAGGGACATCTGAGGAGGGAGGACCTTGCCCTGCACCTTCAGAGACCCTGTGAGACCAGCTCATTCATCTCCATGGGGGAGTCATCATCTGAGTTAGTGACAGGACACACAAGGGATTGTGCTCTCCCTAAAGTCAGCCATTGCCACGTCAGGCAGCCTCTCTTAATCCCAGAAGATGGGAAATGAATCCACCAGTCTGTGCTGGTCTCTCACAAGCTTGGTCTCCTCACAACATACATAACACACACTCTCAAAGAAAGAGAAACTATGGAACCAGGCTGCTGCATGCCACATCAGCCTCTGTCAGGATCAGGGCTGCCTGGGAACAGGACAAGCTGACTGTCCTCTCCTGCTCTCCCGTGGCTCTTGGGGCTCCTACCCCTACTCATCACAGCAGGGGAACAAATATTCTTCCCCTCTGATCCTAGCCCTTGGCCTGTTTACTCTGCATACAGCAAGCAGTATCACCCTGCAGTCCCACCTGGGCTTCCAGCCCTGCTTTCCCGCCTGTGGTTAGTCGCAGCAACCAATAACCTTCTGAAGACAAAGCTGCGTTCTTCAGCACTGGGCACCGGGCATCAGGGAAAAAGGTTTACAACTGCAGCACTGGTTCGCGTACCTGCCTGACCTGGGATACGCTGTACCATGCAGGGGAGCTGACAAGCCTGTACCACCCAGACCCCCCAGGTTTCTCTGTTCAGGCTTCCCTCCCTGGGACAGTGCCCCAGGCCTGGCATGTCCCCCACCCCCCACACCCCTGGGGGCTCATTGTGCACCAAGCAGTTGCTCTAGCATGGGTGAATTTTGCACCTCCTGGTCACGCCGGCTTTGCAGACCCAGGGGGCTGAGTCAGACTCACCAGAGATCAGAGTTTCTGGCTTTGAAGTGTAACAGCTCCTGTACAGGAGACCTGGAGCCATCGTTTTCTGCCTGCCTAACCCATCCCAACGAGCCCACGGTGAGAGGCAAAAGGTTCATAGGGAAAGCACTGGCCCTAGAGCAGGGCAGTACACGGTGCTGACAAAAGCAAACAGGCATCCTCGTGTGGGCTGCCCCACTTGGCAAGTACACATAGGGGGCTTACAAGGGCCTCTCTAGCACAGCTGAGACGAGAGCCCACAGCCTGGAGGAGGTGAGGCCCCAGATTCAGGCAGTCTGGTGAGCTGCAGGAGCACAGGGCAGAGCTTGACCTGGCCACACAACAAGGGACGGTCGTGAGCCTGGTCCGTGCTCTGCACTACCATCCTGTTAGCCTGCGAACCCTTGGGTTCTGCTGCTGGAGCTGCCAACCTCTGAGTTTGGCCCTGCCTGTTTCCAGCTGTTTGGTCACCCATCCCTCTGAGCCCCCAGCCCTAAGCAGGGCCACTCCGGGCTGCAGACGCCCAACCCTGCACAGCTCCCATGTGCATTAAGGACTGGGCCCGCAGCCACAGCCTCCTCCACAGATCTGGCCCAGCAGAGAGCCGAACCTGGCATCCTACTCACCCCTCCAGCCCTTTGGGAGACTCTGCCGAAGGGGAACGAGGCCCCTTGGCTCAGCTCAGGCCAAAACCTCAGGACTGGAGAGAAGGGACAAGCCCAGAAGCCACCATGTCCCTGCTTCACTCACAGCTCCTTTCACTTTCACTTCCCTCCCAAGTGCTGCGTGTTCTCAGGGCGGAGCCCAGCCGCGGAAATGTGTGTGTGTGGGGGGGGGGGGGAGCGCCCCCATGGCAGGGCAGGGGGCAGACCCCAGCTCTGGGGTGCTCCAGAGGGGGAAGCCAGGAGGGGTAGGACACAGACGGGGCAGGGTTCAGCACAGCTGGGGGTACCGCGGGGAGCAAGAAAGCTGGCAGGGGAGTTAGTGGGACTGGGAAAGAGGGAGACCCTGACCCTTTGCCCACTGCCCACCGCCCCCGGGCCTGTTCCCAGACACAGCACTGAACACAGGCTGAGCGCTGGGATCCTCGCACCACCCCCCAGCTGCCAGGGAACTTCCTCTCCCGCCCCCCCCCAGGAATCTCCTTTGCGGCACGTTTCATTCCTCTACTGAACAATGCAAAATGCAAACCAGGGGCTGTGCCTTCTTGGCTCCTTTACAAGGAGTGGGGGAGGCTTCCTGTGGAGCGGGGGGCCAGGGCCCTTTGGGGTTACTGTGGGCAGGTCACAACTGCAAATCTGTGCTCTCTGGGGTTGCTGGAGGTCGGCATGGAGGACCCAGATGTGTGAGGGACCCTCCGGCAGGCAGAAGAGCTGAGCCCCAAGACACCTTCTCTGTCAGCAGTTCCTTGGTCACCTGAAACAGCAGCAGGGGCTTCCGGAGTACTGCCTCCTTGCTGCTGCGGACCGCCTGCTGACTGGTGGGTACAACGTTCAACGCTAACAACAGGAAGTTCTTTTTCACCAGGCCTGTAATTCAGTTGAGGAGCTCATTCCCACCAGATGCGGTGGGAGCTGAGAGTCTGCTGAGATTCTAAAAGGAATTGGGCAAATCTTTGGGGGAAAGGGGCATCAGCAGCTATTGAGCATGGGAGTTAGAGGTACAGTCTCTGAATCAGACCATCCCAGACCTTAAATGCTGGAGGCTGCACGTGGGAGAGGAACAGTGGGAAAAAACCCTGGTCACTCTCACTTCCAGCATCCGCTCTCTGCCGCTGTGTGACACGGGACACTGGGCAAGATGGACCTAGGGTCCGGCCCAGGACCTGGCAGTTCTTATGTTCTTATAAGTCCCAGGTGCCGCTGGTGGCATCCCTGCCCAGCCTGGCAGCAGCACAGAGGCACAGCCCAGAGAGATGGGCCATGAGGTACCAGCAACCTAGGATCCCAGAAGTGCAGGAACCCAGTGCCCATCACCCATGGGCCCCAGCCCTGATCCTGCTGTGGCTTGTGCCCTGCAGCATCTGAGAGCCGCGCTGGAGGAGGCAGAAATGTCACCTCCAACTCTGGGGGCTGCAGCTGGCCCGTGCGACCACAGGGTGTCACTGCTCCCCCGGGTTAGAAAGCACCACCCTGCTGCAGCCTCCCCGACCTCTCATCCTGCTCCCTGCCCTCACCAGGAGGGAGGCTCTGCAGGCAGTGCTTTGCCACCCTGATGCCTGCTTCAGTGCCCAGGTCCTCCTGCTGCCCAGGGGGGCAGTGGGGGTCCTCTGCTCCGTGCCCCTGCCAGAATCCCCTATTGATGCACGCTCCTTTCCTTTCCCAGTGCTTAATGGCCTTGTCCAGGCACGTTGGCACAGGCCTGGACCTGCCTCCCCCCCACTCCTGACAGGGGAAGCTGTTTGCTTTGGGGGGCCAGAAGCCCCCACATCTTGTGTAAGGGCTACAGATATTGGAGCTTAATTCTGGGCAGGCCTAAAATCCCCTCACCTTCCCCTTCCCTTCACCTTGAGCCACTGCCCACCATGCGCCCTGCCTGCTGCTGCTGCTCTGCAGGCAGCGGGCACTGCCCTGCAGTTTGACTCCAGCGCCTGGCAGTGGGCAACTTTGGGGGTGACAGCTGTGGGGGCATAGCCAAAGTCACACTGACAAGCTGCAGTCCCAGTGCCGAGCTGCAGGCAGCCGAGCTGTCGGGTGTAACGAGCAGGTGCTGCACCACCCAGGTGAGCACTCAGCCCAGCACACACCCCACAGGCACCCGGGGCCTTTGCCCTGTCATGGGTCTGCCCCTCCCACACTGCTGAGATAGGCAGGAGCAAGGTGCGGCGCAGGCCCAGTCCCTGCTGTGCAGGTGGCTGGAGCTCCAAGCATCAGGGCCACAATTCTGTTACTCCTGCATGCCCCAAGGGCCGCTCTCCTGCCATGCCAGCGACACTTGTAGCACCTGCTGCAGGCACACAAGCATCCATGAGCTACTGCCTTGGCACAGGGGGAGCAGGGCCCTCGCATGCTTTAGCCCCGAGGCTGAGCAGTTGGGACACTCACCCAAGAAGCAAGAGACTCTCCCTGCCTGGGTGAGGCCATGTCTGTCTGACTTCCCAGCACAGCACTCCAACCACCAGCCAGGCATTACCCAGACTCCTATTCATAGCTCTTGTTGGGGCTGAGCCACTGCCACTCTCCACCCCACCGGGAGCAAAGGTCCAGGTTGGACCCCAAGGGTCCTAGAGGAACATCCATCTCTGCAAACAAACACCTTCCAGCTCCTACACTTTATCCTTCCCTGCACATCTCCCTCTCCCAGCTGCTCAGGGGCCATTTCCAGAAGCAGGGCTGGAGAAGGCCCTGCATGATGCCCAACCTGTGCCCTGGAGGCTGGAGCACCGTGCAGGCACATCTGGGTGACGCTGGCTCTGGGTGAGGGGGGCTCAGAACCTGGGTCTGCTAGTCCCTGGCTGAGTGGTCTCACCACATGGCTAAGACAAGAGAGGGCTGCCGCTGCCCCTCCCTCCACTCACAGCTTGCACTCAGGCCCTCGTGCAGCTGACTGCATGCAGTAGCCATGTGGACACTCACACATCAGTTCACACGGGCGATAGAATCACACTGTCTGTGCCAGAAACACTGCTCCAGTTACATGGGTAAAGGGTAAGAGCTGTGCCCCAGGGGATCAATGCCTACACCCCCTGGCATGAGGGGGCAGAGGGAATGCAGCCTGTACCAACCTCAGCTCCTTGTGTGGCATCTGTGCTCTGAGGGAGGGCAGGGGCCAGCATCAGTGCACGCGGGATTTAACCCAAAGCATTAATTATTAAGCTTGTTAGCAGGGGAGCCACAAGCTGACCCATAAAGCAACAACATGGAGCTACAAATACAGCCCTGTGCATGAATCCAGCTTCTTTAATTATCCTTGCAAATTAATCCATTTCCCCAGTGCAGGGGATTTGCTTCGTGCCAGCTGGCACCTCTCTAGCATACACATGCATGCGGTCTGCCCAGCAAGAGGCGGAGGCAGCTTTGAACTCAGGACTCTCAGCTTCACGGGGGAACAGGGCTGTTAACCAGGAGGGAGTTGAGGCTTGCAGCCACCCTCTGCTCGCTGGGAAGGGGATGTGTGGGTGGCAGGAAGCAGAGGCCTCTGCAGATGTCTCCTCAGCATCGCTGAGCTCCTGGGCCCCTACCTGCACCCCATGGTCCTGCCCTCCTTCATCCACCTGCTCCAGGCTGAACACAGCAGCAGGGCCAGGTTGGATGGAGGGGCCCACAGGGAGACATTCAGGTCGGTCCAGGAGGGAGACTCAGGCCCAGGCAGGGAGGCCTTGAGCTGGGATGGAAACAGGGGTGGGGACAGGAATGGGGATGGGTGGAGTACCAGGTATGTTGAAGGGATTCAGAGTGGCCTAGACACATTGGAGGATCGGGCCCAAAGAAATCTCACGAGGTTCAAGAAGGACAAGTGCAGTCCTGCACTGAGGAGGGAACTATCCCACGCACCGGTGCAGGCTGGGGGCTGACTGGCTGGGCAGCAGCTCTGCAGAAAAGGACCTGGGGTGAGACGCCACAAGAAGCTGATACGAGCCAGCAGGGTGCCCGTGTTGCCCCCAGCTCTCCAGGGCCACTCAAACTCTCGAAACCCGCGCACCGCTGGGAGGCGGCGGAGAGCGCAGGCTGCGTCCCCATTGGCTGGCGGCGGGGCCGGTTGCTGGGAGACGGGTGTCAACAGAACGCACAGTAGCAGCGGCGGCGGCATGGCAACCAGCTACCGCGCGGGGCAGGTGAGCGCGGCCCCCCCCCGGCCCC